AAACGCCCCGTTCCAAACTGTGTGTTTTTAAAATGTTTTAATTAAAATACTATTCGTTACAATTATAAATTGGCGACGTGGATGTCTCTCTTGTGAAACGTCCCGCCCCAAACTGTGTCTTGAAAATATAAAAATAAAAATGTGAATTTTCATAAATATTTCATCATGTCGATTTTCTTTTTGCATTTCACCTACTAAATCGATAGAGATATTTACATTTGCAACATGAACTTAGGTATATTGACTAAATAGAAATCTGCATAGTAATAAAGATCATTTTTTAAAGGCACCATATCGTTTTTTTTTTCAATAAAATCGAAACAAAAATTAACGATAAATAACGACAATTGCCTTAAAAAAAAAGAAACATTCGCGGTGATTTTGTCTTGCATTCGTTTATACAATTATTATATACGAATGACCCGGGAAACGCCCGGGTTTTACCCGATTAAATGCTTTTATTCAAATACTATTCGTTACAATTATAAATTGGCGCTGTGGATGTCATTCTTGTATAATATATAAATGAGTTTTAAAAATTGTAAAAAAAAATGCATCGGCCGGGAATCGAACCCGGGCCGCCCGCGTGGCAGGCGAGCATTCTACCACTGAACCACCGATGGTTATGAAAAATCCCATCCGTGAGCTTCAAACAGACAAACAGACAGAAATAGGCAAATATATAAGTAGATATATTATATATTTTATATATTTCATTATTTTTATATATTTTATATAAATTATATTATATATAAGTGTTTAATTATATATAAGTACCTTTATAAGAATAAAATATTATATTCATTAAAGATAGAAGCTTCTATCTTTATAATTATGTATATTTTCAAAAAGTCAATTCGCTCGCGCCTCTAGCGGTGAAAATGAGGGGTAATACCAGCTGACCTAATGTACATGTAAAGTTTGGAGCGAGACGTTTCCCAAGAGTGACATCCACGGCTCCAATTTATAATTGTAACAAAAAGTATTGGAATGAAAACATTCAATCGGGTAAAACACGGGCGTTGCCCGGGTCATTCGTCTAGTATATATATAGTCACGACCGTCTTTCCTCAATTCCTCATCGCTGAAACGGATGCGCGCGCATCATCATTATGATCATTATCATTATCTAATGATAATAATAATAATTATTATTAATATATTATTATTATTATTTTATTATTATCAACATATATATAGTCACGACCGTCTTTCCTCAATTCCTCATGTCACGGATGCGCGCGCATCATCATTATGATCATTATCTTCTATAGAAGCTTTATAACCAATATATTTTTTCATCGCAATAAGGACAGTAGAAGTTCGTTTTATGTATAAAAGAAACATTCGCGCTTTTAAATCCTTTTATTTTATATGTATAGATGGCGCATTATTGCTTTGTGTTAATTTATTCCTAACTGGCCTTGTCTTAATAGTTTGCTGAAGAGCATTGCTCGAAGAAAATATTTGAATGTAATTCTACTGTCCTATAAGCTTATGTCCATAGTTTACTTGAAACCCATTTCTAAGATTCCATCCTTCAGTGTAGCATATAAAAGCAGAATGATCTAATACAGTATTAGAGCTCTGAGAAGCGGTCTAGTGGATTAAATTGGCGAAAGCGCTGGGAGGGTTCACCACTGATGAGCCAAGCCCTCCCAATATATTTTTTCATCGCAATAAGGACAGTAGAAGTTCGTTTTATGTATAAAAGAAACATTCGCGCTTTTAAATCGTTTTATTTTATATGTATAGATGGCGCATTATTGCTTTGTGTTAATTTATTCCTAACTGGCCTTGTCTTAATAGTTTGCTGAAGAGCATTGCTCGAAGAAAATATTTGAATGTAATTCTACTGTCCTATAAGCTTATGTCCATAGTTTACTTGAAACCCATTTCTAAGATTCCATCCTTCAGTGTAGCATATAAAAGCAGAATGATCCAATACAGTATTAGAGCTCTGAGAAGCGGTCTGGTGGATTAAATTGGCGAACCGCTGGGAGGGTTCACCACTGATGAGCCAAGCCCTCCCAATATATTTTTTCATCGCAATAAGGACAGTAGAAGTTCGTTTTATGTATAAAAGAAACATTCGCGCTTTTAAATCCTTTTATTTTATATAGCTTTTATCTTTATAATTATGTATATTTACAAAAAGTCAATTCGCTCGCGCCTCTAGAGTTGAAAATGAGGAGTAATACCAGCTGACCTAATGTACATGTAAAGTTTGGAGCGGGACGTTTCACAAGAGTGACATCCACGGCTCCAATTTATAATTGTAACAAATAATATTGGAATTAAAACATTCAATCGAGTAAAACAAGGGCGTTGCCCGGGTCATTCGTCTAGTCACGACCGTCTTTCCTCCTCAAATCCTCATGTCACGGATGCGCGCGCATCATCATTTTGATTATTATCATTATCTAATGATAATAATAATAATATTTATTATTATATTATTATTATTATTATCAACATATATAGTCACGACCGTCTTTCCTCAATTCCTCATGTCACTGATGCGCGCGCATCATCATTATGATCATTATATCATTATCTAATGATAATAATAATAATAATTATTATTATTATATTATTATTATTATTTTATTATCAACATATATAGTCACGACCGTCTTTCCTCAATTCCTCATAGGTGTCACGGATGCGCGCACATCATCATTATGATCATTATCTTCTATAGAAGCTTCTATCTTTATAATTATGTGTATATTTACAAAAAGTCAATTCGCTCGCGCCTCTAGCGGTGAAAATGAGGGGTAATACCAGCTGACCTAATGTACATGTAAAGTTTGGAGCGGGTCGTTTCACAAGAGTGACATCCACGGCTCCAATTTATAATTGTAACAAATAGTATTTGAATAAAAACATTCAATCGGGTAAAACACGGGCGTTGCCCGGGTCATTCAGCTAGTATATATATATAGTCACGACCGTCTTTCCTCATTCCTCATCGGCCGCCTCTCTCACGGATGCGCGCGTACAGGGAGGGTACGTGCTCGCCGGCAGCCATCGGGCGAGCGCCGCCGGCATTACGTCATAGATTATAAACACAAGGTAATAAGGCCAAATAAAAAAATAGTGTGTGATAAGGTACAATTGCCATAATGATCATAATGATGTTGCGCGCGCATCCGTGACAGCGGCCGATGAGGAATTGAGGAAAGACGGTCCTGACTATATATATTAATAATAATAATATACGAATAATAATTATTATTAATATCATTAGATAATGATAATGATCATAATGATGATGCACGCGCATTCGTGACAGTCAGTTCTGTCTGTGTAAAGTTCACTGTGTGAAGTTCACGGATAGATTTTGGTCAGAATGGATAAAATAAAAAAAAGTGTCAAGGGATGGGAATTAAACCCACGACCTTCCGCTTACCGGGCAGATGCCATGACCACTAGGCTACCCTGGACATATTTTTTCCGTTTACATTTTTATTTTCATATTTTCAAGACACACAGTTTGGGGCGGGAAGTTGCACAAAAGAGACATCCACGGCGCCACTATAATTGTAACGAAAAGTATTTTAATTAAAACATTTTTAAAATATATACGCACTCGGGTAAAACCCGGACGTTGCCCGGGCCATTCGTCTAGTCAACATATAAGTCACGACCGTCTTTCCTCATCGCTGTCACGGATGCGCGCATCATCATTATGATCATTATCATTATCTAATGATAATAATAATAATAAAAATTATTATATTATTATTATTATTTTATTATCAACATATATAGTCACGACCGTCTTTCCGCCGTCAATCGTGTCACGGATGCGCGCGCATCATCATTATGATCATTATCTAATGATAAAATTAATAATTATTATTATTATATTATTATTATTATTATTAATTAATCAACATATATAGTCACGACCGTCTTTCCACCGTCAATCGTGTCACGGATGCGCGCGCATCATCATTATGATCATTATCATTATCTAATGATAATAATAATAATAATTATTATTATTATTATATTATTATTATTATTAACATATATAGTCACGACCGTCATGGGCCGGTTATGTCACGGATGCGCGCGCACAGGGAGGTCACGTGCTCGCCGGCAGCCAACGGGCGCGCGCCGCCGGCATTACGTCATAGATTATAAACACAAGGTAATAAGGCAAAATAAAACAATAGTGTGTGATAAGGCACAATTTGGATTATCTACTTATATAATTGCCTTATTCTGTCTGTGTGAAGTTCACTGTGTGAAGTTCACGGATAGATTTTGATTAGAATGTATGAAATAAAAAAAGTGTCAAGGGATGGGAATCGAACCCACGACCTTCCTCTTACCGGGCAGATGCCATGACCACTAGGCTACCCTGGAAATATTTTTCCGTTCACATTTTTATTTTTATATTTTCAAGACACACACAGTTTGGGGCGGGACGTTTCACAAAAGAGACATCCACGGCGCCAATTTATAATTGTAATGAATAGTATTTTAATTAAAACATTTTAAATATATATACGCACTCGGGTAAAACCCGGGCGTTGCCCGGGCCATTCGTCTAGTCAACATATATAGTCACGACCGTCTTTCCTCAATTCCTCATCGCTGTCACGGATGCGCGTGCATCATCATTATGATCATTATCATTATCTAATGATATTAATAATAATTATTATTCGTATATTATTATTATTATTATTAATATATATAGTCAGGACCCTCTTTTCTCAATTCCTCATCGGCCGCTGTCACGGATGCGCGCGCATCATCATTATGATCATTATCTTCTATAGAAGCTTCTATCTTTATAAATATATATATTTACAAAAAGACAATTCGCTCGCGCCTCTAGCGGTGAAAATGAGGGGTAATACCAGCTAACCTATTGTACATGTAAAGTTTGGAGCGGGACATTTCACAAGAGTGACATCCACGGCTCCAATTTATAATTGTAACAAATAGTATTTGAATAAAAACATTCAATCGGGTAAAACACTGGCGTTGCCCGGTTCATTCCGCAAGTCAACATATAAAGTCACGACCATCTTTCCTCAATTCCTCATCGCTGTCACGGATGCGCGCGCATCGTCATTATGATTATTAATGAGATACTGAATAATAATCTGGATGATAATTGTGAAACAATAGGATATGCAGATGATATTACGTTAATATGCTGGAATAAAACTCCTGAGCAACTAAGAAAGACAATAGATAATGTATTAAGAAAAATCAATAAGTGGTGTGAAAGTCGTAAATTAAAATTGTCAGATGAAAAAACAAAAATATTATATTTATATAAATGCAATAGCGATATAATAGTCTCAGGTAGCAAGATAATTAAACCGGTTGAAGAACTTAAGATTCTAGGAGTGACTATTAAAAATCACCGAGTCAGAAGCAAACTGGACTTTACGCCTCACGTTAATGAAATGATCATAAAGGTAACTAGAGCTAGTGGATACCTATTTGGCCTGACAAAGAAAGCATGGGGTCTGGACTTTAGACGAAGACTGATATTGTATAAGACATTATATCGAAGTACAATTACTTATGGTTATCCAATATGGTATCCATTCATAAACAAAAAGTCTAAAGACAAACTTAATTCTCTTCAATATAGTATATTAAAACATTGTATACAGGCCTACAGTACAACATCATCGGATTGTACACATATACTTGCACAAGTCCCCAAACTTACTGAATATATTGAATCTAACATGTTGAAAACCGAAATAAATTACAACCGATTTGACTCTTCAAGTAGGAATATAATTTCTAATTACATGAGGGAAAAATTGCAGAAATACTATGAGAAGACTAATACCTTTTTCAAGTCCTTCTTCACTGATTCCCAAATACCCAAATATGTCAAGCCAAACTTTTACAATGTCCAATTTTTTACTGGACACGGTAACTTTAGATCATATTTGTACAAAGTCAGTAAGGCGGATTCGCCTAAATGCTCATGTGGTGCAGAAGAAGAAAATCCTGTACATATTTTAACGGACTGTCGACTTGTAGAGGACTTGAGAGTCAAAAATCAAATAAATATAAATTGTCTAAATCAAATAGTTAATAATAGATCTATGTATATAAATTTTAATAGATTTTGTAGAATGTTTTTCAGTAATAGATAGCCTGGGCTGTAATAACTGAGATATAGTTATATCCTGTAAATAGCTCTAAATTTCTGTTCTTATGTGATGTTCACTAATATTCATTATAGGGTAATTAAATCGTTAACTAACTGATAAATATGTTAATAATTTCTATTATAATAACTAATTTCATATTAATAATTACTGTAAATAAGCTCCCAAACTTGTGTATGCATGCAAATATCCTAGACGGATATCGCGTGCTTGTAAATGATAATAAATAAATAAATCATTATGATCATTATCATTATCTAATGATAATAATAATAATATATAATAATTATTATTATTATATATATATAGTCACGACCGTCTTTCCTCATTCCTCATCGACCGCCTCTGTCACGGATGCACGCGCACAGGGAGGTCACGTGCTCGCCGGCAGCCAACGGGCGCGCGCCGCCGGCATTACGTCATAGATAATGAACACAAGGTAATAAGGCCAAATAAAAAAATAGTGTGTGATAAGACACAATTTGGATTATAGATTATAAACACAAGGTAATAAGACCTAATCCAAATAAATAAATAGTGTGTGATAAGGCACAATTTGGATTATATTTTAAACAGTTATCAGCGTCATGCACAATTCTGTCACGTTAAGTCACGTGTCAAGTTACGGTAAGTAGAAATTTAAAAATTAAAAAAAGATGCCGAAACCCGGGATCGAACCAGGGACCTTTAGATATTCAGTCTAACGCTCTCCTAACTGAGCTATATCGGCTTATTTCATTTATTTCTATAGAAGCTTCTATCTGTATAATCTATATATATAAAATTGAATGTCTGTGTGTGTGTGTGTGTGTGTGTGTCCTCTATGGATTCAAAAACCATACATCCAATCGCCGTGAAATTTTGGGATATTATTAGGTGTATCCCCGGAAAGGTTTACGAAAAATAATTTCTTGAATATCTTTAATATCCTTAGAGTTATTTGCAGATTTGTAGCTTTAACTCGCAAGCAACGCCACCTTAGGCTTAGGTCTGCCCCCCCCGTCCGGCCGCCGGCCATTGGACAGTCCAAGTTCCCACCGACCTATCAGAGGGATCAAGATCCCCCCTCCCCCCCCCCCTCCCCCCCACCCCCGTCCGGTCGCCGGCCAATCAGAGGGATCAAGAGGTCCTGGCGCTGGGGGGGCGGGTAACCTCCGGGAACTACGTCCATCTTCCATAAACGACCATGATTCTATTCAACTTATCGAGTAATTTTCAAGGGACCGGGAAAATATGTAGATAAAACGATGATTTTGTAATGTAGAAAATTAGGAAAGACAAAATTCAGGATGACACGGCACACAGGGACCGGGAAAAAATAATCACTTTATCGAGAGATTCACGACCATGATTTTATTCAACTTATCGAATATCTTTCAAGGGACCGGGGAAAATGTTCACTATATAAAACGACGATTTTGTAATGTAGAAAATTATGGAAGACAAAATTCAGGATGACACGGCACACAGGGACCGGGAAAAAATGTTCACTTTATCGAGAGATTCAAATTTACGAGTTTCAAATTATCAAAATATATCTTTTTTTTTTATAAGTTTGTAGAGAATTGTTTTAACAAATGTTCGTTAGACAAACATTCACTCGGGTAAAACCCGGGCGAAGCTGGGCACATGCGCTAGTTATGTATATTTTCAAAAAGTCAATTCGCTCGCGCCTCTAGCGGTGAAAATGAGGGGTAATACCAGCTGACCTAATGTACATGTAAAGTTTGGAGCGGGACATTTCACAATAGTGACATCCACGGCTCCAATTTATAATTGTAACAAATAGTATTTGAATAAAAACATTCAATCGGGTAAAACACGGGCGTTGCCCGGGTCATTCGGCTAGTAGAATATAAACACAAGGTAATAAGACCATATCCATGATAAGGTACAATTTGGATTATAGATTATAAACACAAGGTAATAAGACAACATCCATGATAAGGTACAGTTTGGATTATAGATTAAAAACACAAGGTAATAAGACCACATCCATGATAAGGCACATTTTGAATTATAGATTATAAACACAAGGTAACAAGACCACATCCATGATAAGGTACAATTTGGATTATAGATTATAAACACAAGGTAACAAGACCACATCCATGATGAGGTACAGTTTGGATTATTACTATATATAGTCACGACCGTCTTTCCTCATCGGCCGCTTCTGTCACGGATAAAAAAAAACAGTTATCATCGTCATGAGTTCTTAATTCTGTCACCGTTTGCTTTTGGTTCAGTGGTAGAATGCTCGCCTGCCACGCGGGCGCCCCGGGT